TGTGCTTGTGTTTCGCGTTCTGTTGAACTCAGTTTGCTGATGTTGGCACCTCGCTCTCCTTCCCAATCGGCAAAGGCAGCGACAACCGGCCAGGAGGTGTACGCTTGGTTCAGTGACCCTGTAGTCTAGCTAGTTACGTGGTTATGTGACTACTCTATTAATTACTATTTAGATCTGGTCACCTTCTTACTTTAAGTGATTATATATGCCTTGCTCTCTCATCGAGCACCGACCAAGATGAACGGGAACGGAAGCAATGGCAGTTTCGAATTTGGAACGGGACCACCTGGACCTCCAAACGGAGGAGGTGGGGGATGGAATCGAGGACAAGGAAACCAAGGAGGGTGGAACGGGGGGAATGGAAATCAATGGGGATGAAACAATAATGGTGGCGGTGGATGGAATAATGGAAATGGCTCAGGAGGCTGGAATAACGCAAACGGGGGAGGTGGATGGAACAATGGCAACGGAGGAAACCACTGAGGAGGAAACTGGAATGGGGGAGGTTGGAACAATGGCGGAGGCGGTCAACGAAGGGGACCTAAATGTTATAACTGCGGGCTATTCGGCCACATCTCGCGTGAATGTAATGCGCCAAGGCAGAACAACCAGGGACAGCAAGGAACTCAGATGCGCTACCAAGGACCCCAGGCGATGGAAGCGTCGAGCGGCTCCTGTGCTGAAGCTACTGTACCAGCCGTGTTGAGTAAGGAAGTGGAAGAATCCCTGAAGTGCATGGCTGCCTACGTTCAAATGCAAATGAAGAAGGATGAAGAACAACATCAGCAAGCGATAGAGATTGAGGAGAGGAGGAGGAAAGAGGAAGCGGAGAGATTAGCTAGGGAAGAAGCTAATAGACTAGCATTGGAGAAAAACGAAACAGAAGAACTTAAAAGCAGCGAAGAGGAATTGGGAAATTGAGAAGATGCTTGCGAAACAAAAAGAAGCATTGGAGGAAGAGTTCGAGTGGAGGCGTGAGAGTCGACTAAAAGGTGTAATGATCACGAAAAGAGTCGTAAAAGCTAAACCAAAACTATCTTCCCCTCAACCCGAATCATCGGACTCAGATGATGAGGAGGAGGAAACGCAGGAGGAGAGATTGGAAAAGCGGAAAAGACAGCAAAGGCAACCTTCGGTGGACATGCAAGTCCAGCGGGCACTCCAGCGAAGATCGGCAGATCCGCAGTTATTGAAGACCCTCCGACTCAGACACTGGAGGAACGACTGGACGTAGCCGAAACACTAATCCCTAGAGGTAGAAGTAAACAAAGGAAGGAAGGGATTGGGTTTCCTGTCTACGAATCCACGTTGTGGGAAGGTGCTCTAGTGGATGTTGATAGCAAGATGGAAGCCGCTTTCAAAAAACAGGTTAAGAAATTCCTAACGAAGAAGAGCATGGCCACAATCCAAGAGATGTGCAAGAAAGATTGCATGGCTTATCGAGGACGCCCAAAAGTTGTCGACGAGCTGATTGAACTCAGGGTCATGTATTTCTAGAAACCGCAGCAACCTCGCACTCCACGCCAGGGTGGGATTGTGATCAGAGAGCCGCCAACAAGTGCAATGAGAGCTCTACGGACTCCGCCTACTCAAATCGCGCACCAAGATCTGTCCGAAGACTGATGTATGGAATGACTTGCGATTTTACTTAGATCTGAGATACCGTCTTTACAACAGTACATCGGTAGGGACTAAGCAGATTAGGATTATTATCGAGAGGATTCTGAGATTATGTATTGTGATCCTTACTAGTTGAGGGGAATTACAGTGGGGCGCAAAATTCCTACTTAACTGGTTTCATATTATCGAAAGTGATCCATCTAAGTGGGATAACCCTTCTTCTTGCGTCTACGTCCTGCTGGATCCAGGATGTTGTGCCTCATATATAAGACAGACCTCTAGATTACTGTAAGATAGATGGAACAAACACTTTCTTCGGGCCAACGGGAACTCGGATGTAAAATCTAAACTCTATAGTTGGTTTCGGAACTGGGGTTGTAGAAACTATGTAGCATTACCGACCGCCTTTGTCCCTGAATCTAATATGAAAAGTCTGGAAACGGTACTAATCAAGAGATGGTCACCTACTCTGAACTCTATCGGCTCAAAACGTACAGTTGGAAAGAAAAACCGTAAAGGGAGGAAGGAACGTAGGAAATCACGATGTAACTTATCTCAGGATGAACGACCTCTAGTCTTTAAGACAGGAGATATGGAATCACTAAATTTAATAGATATTTGTAAGTATGCTTTTGATGGCAATAAGAAGTTTTCTTCTTCGGGGGGTAAGATCTGGGTACCTCATTGGAAGGTTATCCTACGTGAAATTGGCCTGAGTACTTTCTCCGTAGATGGTAGTATCATCCTCCTGACTAGCCTCAAGGAGAGCTTGGAAGAGGGAGGGATTTTCACAATACACCATCTGAAGGGAGGTACTTTTTCCCTACGTAATAAAGAACTGAAAGGACGTCTAAATAAATTACTTAAGAACCCGTGGGCCAAAAAACAGTTTTATAAGCTACCTCAAGAAGATTTGTTTGAACTTTTTATTGCTACAGATCTTTTTTCCAAAGCTATTTGTCGCAGTAATCTTCGTGATATTATCGGTGGCATATTATGGAAGAAGTTTGGGTTTAATACTCGTAGGAAGCACTGTATCTCAATTACGTACGATATTGGTCTTCGGAAAAGAGGTATTCGTCGTGTTGTGTCTGATCGCTTGTTAAATCAGCTTCCCCTTGCTGAAGTTGCCTTCATGTGTAAGAAACTCGGAATTGTCTCGCGGAAAAACAAACCAGTTGCTAAAATTCTTCATAACCATCGGACTGCTGCTCAGATCCCGGTGGGTGTCTGCAATTGCGCAGAATTCAACCTTCCTTTGGTGGAGGACACTTGTTGTGCAGGGCCAGTAAGCTAGATGGCATTGATGATTTTTTGAAAAATGCTAGAAATATTATTATACTGGACCGTACACATAAATGTAATAAAACTCTCTCTGAAATAAATAATGCACTTATTAAAATGGGTGTCAATACTCCTTTATCGGCCCTTAATATGGAAATTTGTTGCACTTTTTCTGCTATTTCATGTAACTACGACCTAAGATCTTTAACATACCTTAAAGAGTTAGGTTCTCATTTTGTATTATCAGCAGTGGACAAAAATCCCGTTGAGATGGTTATTATGTGCCCCGAACTCTATGCCAAGGGAATGCGTGATGTTTTCTGGGGTAGTAACAGTTTCAAAGTTGTACGGAGAACTGAAGCCGAAACCCTGGTTAAATGCAAAAAGGCCTTTAAAGAATCTGGACTAGAGAGGCTTGGAAAATGGGATAATACGGGGAGAATTGGTCGAGCTTACATAATTTCTAAAAATAAGGATTTATGCAAATTACGCCCAATTAGCCCGTCCTTCTCCGAACGTTCGCGAACCGCAAGTAGCCGTATTGCCCACGCACTTAACCACCTTCTTTTTCTCCTACCTCAGAATATGCATTCTAATCTTAAATCCACGAACTTGCTTCTTCGAAGGATCACTGAACTTAATAATTGGACTGTGTCGAAAAGGAAGGGGAGTCCTTAATGCGCCTCCTTTGACATCAAAGAAATGTTTGTCGTCTACCTCATAACTCTATCTCAGAAGCACTCGATTGGATCCTACGTTTTTATTATGATAAAGGGAAAAGTCATGTTGGAATCAAGAGAAGAG